GAAAGAGGGAAATGAGCAATGTTTTGAGATGCACTAACCATGTATTGTTGTTGGCTCTTCCTTTTCTTTTCAGTAGGTATAGAACCGTGCATTACACAAGTGCATATAAATTTAGAAATTCCCAAAAAATATGAATTCTGAAATTATTCTGGAAAGTTTAATGGCAAGCGTTAGTCATCTTGAGAAAAATATAGTTAATTTGTAATCAATATCATGAATATTTTTGGATATTCAAATATTTAACTAATTTGTTATTCCTAAGAATAGATCTTAACGAAATGATATTTCATAGATTTGTTTGCAGAAATTCATATTGAAGGTTTATTTTGCAATATTTGATGAAAAAGTAGAGAAAAAATAAGATCAACATTGATGCATACTGATTCAAGTGTAGTTTGTGTTAATTGCACTTGCAATGGTACTCTTAGTATGCCTTATCATTATTTTTCCAATTTTTTCTAGTTTCTCAGATATTGACTTGGCTAAAAAATATTCATCTTTTCTTCATTATTCTATCTTCTCAAATATTACTCGTTTATGAATAATTACAATTAATTAAGAGGTGTCGAAGCAGAAATAATCTAGTAAGTGAAACATTAAAATGACGGATGTTAGAAAATAAAAGAAGGATGTATATAGAAGGTAAGGATGAATAACATGGTTTCATTTTATGCTGACATAACTTGTAAAGAGAAAATTTTCATGTTGATATATCAACTTCGCAAATCGCGTTCAGGTTGTATATGTTATATATACAATTTTATGTATCTGAATTAGCTTCCAGCTCTAGTTTCTCTCCATTGTTTATGCAAGTTTACTTATGATGCAACTAAGCAAGCATTCTAGACTTTTCGAAACATATTTAAATTTTAAACAAAATTAATACTTTTAATTTTTGTTTTGATTTTCTAATGTTTTTTTTTATTCAATTTAGTTCTTTGACTTTTCATTGTTTAACAAGTTTATGTAACTGGTTGTAAAAAAAAAATTATGCAATTGTTTATCATGTGCTAAAAGGAAAGAAAAAATTGTTGAACTGTGCAAAGCTAGCAGGTTACATTGTTTATTGTGTTTTACGGTTATAACTATTATAACTAGTATTTAAGCATGTACAATGTATAATGTTGATTATATATGATATAATTAAAATTATAATAATATATATATAAATACTATATTTGAATATACATATATATATATATATATATATTATATTTAAAATAACTATATATAAATGATTTATATTGTAAAATGAATTTATTGATAATTTATTCTAAAATATTAATATTCAATTAATACATAAGTATAATAAATAAAAATTAAATTAAATAAGAGGTTATAAATTATTTTATAAATTCTTTATTGAAGAAAAGTTCCTAAAAATACTGTCATATAAGATAAATATTTATGTTTAATATATATAGGGGTTGATTGTGATTTTGCGTTCTAGTCAGAATCAAATCTTAGTTTTTTTAGACCAATATTTTTGTTCGATCTAAGATAAATGTGTTTTGATTTGTTTTTATAAACTTTTATTTGTTTTTTATTTCTTTAAAATTTGAAATTGTATTTTTAGTTAAATGAAAAAAAATAATAATTTTGATTCTTATAAAATATTTTTCTTTAATTTTTATTCCTTAAAGTACCATTTTTTATCTTTAGTGTTAATTTTAAGATAAATAAATAAACATTTATTTTAAGAATTTATAGAAAATTTTAGAAACATTACATACTAACATGATAACTAATACAGTCACTTGATCATATGATAACCACATAAATAATTATAAATGACCACATAATACTAGAGATTAAAAATAATAATTTTAATTTTAGATAGATAAAAAAAATATAGAAAAAATTACAAAAATCAAAATAAAAAATAACTTATTTTACGAGGAATAAAAATATGTTTAAGTCTTTTTTTATTAAAAAAAAATAAGTACCGACAATTTATAGTAATATGTGTTATCTATATACAATTATGTATACATCCAATAAAAGGGATATTAGTTTTAATTTTTTTGGACTAACTTATCCAAGTAACTAACTCGGAAACGCTCTTTTTCTCTCTCTATCTTTTATTTATTTAAATTTTATTTTCTCTTTTTTTTTTATATAGATTTTACTTTTCCAACTTCTATTTAACTAATCATTCTATTATTTTTTATTTTAAGAAAATAAAGAGACATCAACGACGATCTCTTTTCTCTTAATATTTATAAAAATATTTGTACAAAACCCAACAAATTTATCATATATATAGATAGTTTATAATTGAATCACAAATTTATCAAGATAGTTTATAATTGAATCAGAATATTAAAAAAATACCATCATTAGATATAGTATTTGCTTTTCTATGTACTAATTCATCAAAATGATCAAATAATATAAGAATTTTATGCACCCATTACCTATATTTATGTATAAAAATAATTCTTTACTTTAGTGTATACAATATTTTTAACAATTTTAACTTTTAAAATTAAAATTAAAAATTTTACAATAATAATTAATAAATATTATAAAAAAATTAATCTTAAAAAAATTATTTCCAAATAATAATCACAACACACTATTTCACTAACATGAAGTAGAGATACCAAGTGATTTTGTTTCCACTAATATTAATAAATAAAATTATGTGATAATGGAGTGAATTTCTGTTACATGTCTAAAAAACACTAAACATGTATATAAATTAAATTTATAATAAAAAAAATTATGAATTTATATTTTATGAATTAAAAAATTAAATAATATAATTAAAAATAGAGTAACTTAAATAAATTTTTATGATTATGCATCTAGACCGTGAAAACCTGTCCACGCACTCTCACACTTCTGGAGAACTTCTCTGTAACTCTTTCTTCTGTAGAGAGGTTCTCCAAATATATATATATATATATATATATAATTTTATTTTTCCTCCCCATCAAATGAATCCTAATATAATAATTGAGACAATATACCATGAATGGCTACAATATTATATTCGTTTTCATTTTACCTCGCACACTCATCTTCTCCATGGATGAGAATTTATGGCATCAGTGTAGTTTTTATCAAAATTTTCATTTCCACTTAGACCCACAATTTGAATCCACTTCTGTTTTCAAAATATAAACAAAATGTGCTAAATTTCAATATGTAGAGTGAAAACATGGTTTTGCCTTAAAGTTCGGGTTGTGATCCGAAAATCTGATTCATGGATCCTACATTATTTCATTTGAGGTTGTACCACTATCAGTGATTTGCATGCTTAACTCTAGTCTTGATTATAGGCATCTCCATTCTTCACTATCGCACCATCATTCCTTTATAGTAATGTCTCCAACCAACCTACACACTATAGAGAACCATAACAAACACCGCAGGGTTGTAGATGCACAAGTTTAACGAGAACCATGAAATTTGATATTTTATCTAAATTTGGAAGCTAACTGAATTCAAGTAAATTGTTAAAAAAGATAAATTAACTACAATTATCACAACCATGCAGCGATAATTAGCTCTGATATCACCACCAAAACCTCACCTGTCCATCCATTTCGGATTCACCACAAAACACTTGTCATCACTCTTATAAGCCAAAGTTTTCAGTCAAGCACGTGGCTTTCTTCAATGCAAAACTTCCCATTCTCCCATTCTTTAAACCCCATTTGTGTTCTTCTGTTTTGGCCGAGTGTGAACAAGTGTTAACAAGGTAAATGACATTGGTTATCAGAGAGAGGAGGCACAAGCAAGCTCTAAGGCTTTCCTTGCCAAAGCCATCGCCAATTCCATCATCAAAAGATTTTCCACACCAAATCCACGTACCAACAGTGTTGCCATCACCTTCTTCCAATGTAGACTCTTCACCGGGCATCATCAAGGACCTTTTGGACCTTGAGAAGCTAGCAGTTCTTGGACATGGCAATGGTGGCACAGTCTACAAAGTTTATCACAAGAACAACCGTTGCTTTTATGCATTGAAAGTTCTACGCTTGAATGAGAATGGCATTGGAATTCGCCACCCCGCCACACTCGAGGCTGAGATTCTAAAACGAATGGATTCTCCATATATAGTAAGATGTCATGCAGTTTTTGACAATGGGAATTGCAGTGAAAGTGGCAAAGGTAGTGACATTAGCTTTGTCATGGAATACATGGAAGGAGGGTCGTTGCATGATGTCTTGCGACAACACCATAGGCTTCCAGAAGAGGTTATTGCGGGGTTGGCTAAGCGAGTTTTAGAAGGGCTTAACTATTTACATGGCAAGCACATTGTGCATAGAGATATTAAACCCTCAAACTTGCTAGTGAATAACAAGGGAGAGGTGAAGATTGCAGATTTTGGAGTGAGTCACGTGGTGGAAGGAAGGTTTGAGGGAAGTATCTCAAACGCCGGCACGTGTGCTTACATGAGTCCGGAAAGGGTTGATCCAGAAAGATGGGATGGTGAAAATGCGGATGAGTTTGCAGGAGATGTGTGGTCCATGGGGGTCGTGATGTTGGAATGTCTCTTTGGTCATTTTCCATTGATTGGTCCAGGGCAGAGACCAGATTGGGCAACTTTGATGTGTGCAATTTGCTTTGGGGAGAAGCTGGAGATGCCAGAGAAGGCATCGCCAGATTTCCAACATTTTGTGAGGAGGTGTCTTGAGAAGAATTGGAGGAAGAGAGCAACAGTGTTGGAACTTCTTCACCACCCTTTTGTGGGTAGGAATAGTTGCTGTTTCAGTAAAGGGCTTGGAGATTATGTTCTTCGGGGTTAAGTTCACTAGATTTTGCTTTTCTCAGTCAGATTTTTCGACATTTTTGGAGCTTTAGCTGTCTCAGCTTTTATTTTAAGGCGATCATAAATAGAGTCGGATTTTTGAAGCAGCCAGGGATCTTTTGGCTTAAAGAAAGAGGTTAGAATGTCAATAATTTTGTAAAGTTACTATATGCTCATGCAGGCAAATCTGGGAATTACTGACAGCAACAGATTTTATTGGGGATTTCCTAATATCCATTGGCCAGGTTGCTGTATGAAAGACAACAGATGCGTTCCCGTAAAATTTCTGGTCCATGTTCTTTTTAGATGATGAATTTGAAGAAATAATTGCCCTGGAAGTTCTGAATTACATCATTTAAGGATTGAAAACTGAAGATATAAAAAAGAAACCTTTAAATAAAAATACAATATTTAATATCTAAAAAGTTCAATATATATTTATACTTTATTTTTCAAGCAATTAAAAGACTACTAAACATTTGTGCTTATAACAGATGGACATTGAACCACCAACAAAATTGACTTAAAGACTAGTCACAAAGAATTAGTATTTGACTAATAGTTGAAACATATCTTTAATGCAAAATAAATAAATATAGACATTGAAAACCACTTCCCCCCTCCAAAAATAAATAAACAAATAATAACTTCAAAAGTCCTAAAAAATTAGTCTTTGATCAGTTGAAATATATCGTTAGTGCAAACAAAAAAATAAAAATAAACATTGACATCGAAAACCACTTCTCCCCCCACCCAACCCCCCAAAAAAATAATAAATAATTAATTTTAGAAATCTTAAAAGATTAGTATCTAATTATTGGTATATATATATATATATTGCAAAAAATAAATAAAGATGCAGACATTGAAAATCACTTCCCCCCTCCTAAAAAAAATAGCATAATTTCAGAAATCTTAAGAATTAATCTTACTGCAAACAAAAATATAAATAAAGATGAAGACATTGAAAACCGCTTCTTCCCTCCCCCGAAAAAATAAATTGTAAAGATACTTGTTTAAAATAAACTAAGCAGGAAGGAAACTGATAAACATGTTGAATCAAGAGGAAATAATAATGCTAAATAGTTGCTCAAGTCGTCCAAACCCACCTATAACTCCAGTGACTTCTTTAGCCACTTGTAATATTAATATTTTCTTTCCAAATCCAACACATTCTATCTTGTACATTATCATGCTTTCGGTTTTGGAACAATCAACTGCAATTAACCATTGATCCCTCAAAATTAGAGCAATAATACCACAAATATATTAAAGAAGACCAATTTCTTAACCCAGACTAGAAAGACCAATGGAAAATGAGACTGAAAATCTTGCATGGAAAGAACTTTCGTTTGCAATCACCATGCTCCTTCCGAACTACGGCATATCAGAGAAATACGGCATAACAGTTCTCATCCGCAGATCACAACCATAATCACTTCATAATTTGGGGGGGGGGGGGGGGGGGCTTTGGGGGGAAGGT